AGAATATTTCTCTGAATGTAGAAGATTCGGTTTAATTGGCCACCATAAGGGTGAACATGTAAGAAGATTCATAGTGAGGCCCGGAGTAATTGTAATTGCACCAACATGACGAATTTTTTTTTCGTAAGTTGACCTTACCTCAGAGGGTGCCCGTAATTTACTAAATAAATATATAAATATAGGATAAAAGTTCACCAGTGACTCTTTGAAAATCGATTGAAAATTGTCATTTAACTACAAATATAAATTAACTGAAAAATATCATTTTTCTTTAAAATAAAATCTTTACTTCATTTGAAGAACCAATTATTAAATTAGATCCAAATATCAATAGGGGCCGGGTGGTCTGATTAATTTATCAGGGCATGTGACTATTGACAGACTCTGGCAAAAGAGTTTTTGAAGGTGCTCGTGATTTTATATTTTGGGCTGTAAAAAATTATTATCTACAAAGTGTACGTATATTTATTTATTTACATATATATACACAGCATGCAGTACTATACTACATAAATTCTGACCAGTCTCAGTCTTTAATTTTGCCCCATACTTCATTTCGTACGTTATATATCACATGCATGGAAATTATTACAGTATATATCCCTACAAAAAAAAAAATTATAATAATTACAGTAATAGGTACAAAATGAGGCCCTACGGTAATTAGGGTTCTTACCCTATGCCTATTGATTGATGCTTTTGGTGCCTGCAATTTGGCCTCTATATATAGTACTGCTTTTGGTGACATTGACTCATCTCTTTAATTTCAGATGTTCTAATTGGTTACTATTAAACTCCAATGTTTTTTTTTACAACAAAAGCATCCTATGCATGCAACTGCCACAACCCTCTCTCTCTCTAAACAATAATTTGTTAAATCTTAAATATGATTATCGCAAGTAATTGTTAATTAATCAACACGCGGCCGTATTATTTTCTGAAAGGTAAATAACTAAATAAGAGTGTTTTGAAATCTGGACCGGACCGGCTAGTTCAACCGGTCAAAACGGCGAACCATTCTCTTTGTCGGTCCGGTTTAACCGTGATATTGGAAAATTGAATTTTTTTGCCCCAAAATTGGAAATGTGAGTAATAAGTTAATGGGAAAAACAATATGTTGTATTTACTATAAAAGTTATGTACAACTAAAATTAAAAAAAAAAATGAAAAATCAGTTGGACCCCAGTTGAACCTATCCAACCATGACCCAATAGTTTTTCCCGAGTCAGTGTTTGGTCCGCTTTTCAAAATATTGTTAAATATTATCAAAAAAATGGTTACATAGTAGGATAACTTATTATTTGTATTGAATTAACCAATCCATTGACGGTTGACCACAATTACTCAATTATAAGCCTAATTAACCTAAGATAGACATATGTATTAACCTTAAATTTTGTTTTGTTTAAGCAGCCTGATTGATCAATCGCAATCATTATACAATTGATTAGTAGTGATAATGAAAGTTGCTTTTCAAATTTATGGTACATAATAATTTTAGAATGATGACAAAAAGCATCATGTCAGTACGTATCTCGACATTCTCGTGACCCCCCATGCACCCCCCCCCCCCCCAACCCCCCAACCCCACCCCCCACTACCCCACCCCTCAAAGGCCAAAACCCTATTCACCATGCACCCTTTTTCAGCTTCTATAAAAAGCATGCTCCCCATAAAGAAAATATCTCTAACATTCAACATTATTACAATATAGTCACACAATTCATAACTCTCTCTCTCACACACACACACACAGTTGAGATGGCATCAAAATTGCAAAGAAAAAGGGCACTGCGCAGAGTATTATTGCAATGGGGAGGG